TTCTACCAATACTAAAATCCCAAACACTAGATGCCAAATTAACGTAATGATTCATTTATTGAAGGACCTTTCTTCTTATTGGTTCTAGTCGACGTGTTACTAATTTCACCTACTGCACTGTGAGACATATTGGTTCACTGAGCATATCGTCTACCTACGTACCAAATAGATAAAACATCATGTTTTCATCCATACACAATTTAGAAACTGAATATGAATTCTTTCTAAAACTTGGTACGAAAAGACGATTACTCGATTAACCTAAAATTCTACTTAATAGATAACTCCCACTGCAATAGTTGCTACTTCCGTAGCTAGCCCATTCTAGATGGTAATTCAACCTTCACATGTCGATTGGTTCACTAAAACCTTTTTACATAATTAGTGGTTACGTATCTACATACCAGGCACTAATAGATAACACCACTTAAAATGCTTCGACTTCCCAGTGAATAAAATTTACCTTTCTTGTATTAAGGATAGGACAGTTCATCTTTCTATGTCTATTTCGCTTAAACCAGATACACATGCCATTCGGCTTGTATTCTTTAGCAAAACTAGACACTATCCAAGTTCTATTTCTAATCATGTTTGAACAAGTAAATTATCTTTGAGTATTATGGACAACAGATTGAAAAGACATTTTGAATTCCTGGGATCATGCAAACATAGTCTTTACTCAGTCAAGTGTTTTCGATGTTAGAGGTATGCTGTAAAAGCTGTGTTCTGCAGTTTCTATCAATTCCATTTTGATCTGGCAATCATGTTTCGGTCAAAGTACATATGTTTGCAGTTTATTTATTTATGCAATACATACTCCATGTCTTATATTGAGATAGTGTGGTTCGAAGAGTTTCGAACGGAAAGATCACCTATCGGTTCCTTATAAGACTAAACTATTCGTTCACAGTCTAGACTGGCAGTGAGACCCCACTTGGAAAAAGACTGTAGTGTATTCCCGATTCAGTTGGTCTTTGACTGAAGGATTACACTAGCACTTATGTTAAGTGTTGAACAGGACCACGAAAGGATAAGGATATGAGAATCACTGACTGTTGTCGTAACCTAGACCTTCAGTGATTGATGCGTTCTCTTAAGCTGTAAAATAATATAAAATAGGCATATATTTTTATTTCTTATTTATTTGATTTACCAAGTGATTCCTATTCTGTTAGGATGACATACGAGGTATTTTGGTAAGTAAGAATAATTATATGATGTGCTATTATAGATTATTTACAGTCACTATGTTCCAGTGCGCTGGATTGATGACGTCCCCAAAATGAGCTCAGAAAGGAACCTTATGTTAAACCCTGCAGGTAGACGATTGTCTGACATAATGGTTAAAGGCTGAGTGGTACTAATTTCGGAAATGAATAAGAAGTTGATTAATTACTTTGTCAGTAATTTAATTAATCAACGGACGTTATATCTTAAACATAGGGAGGTAAATCGATCAATCAGATTAATATTATTTAATCATGGAGGATCAATTTTATTGGTAAAATAGTGGCTAAATGGGGAGAGCAATAATATTACTGTAATACCCCGTTCGATTTTAGATTATTTGGTGTTATTATTTATTTTCTTTATTATTATTTGTGCCCCTTATTATTATTATTATTATTATTATTATTATTATTGTTATTATTATTATTATTATTATTATTATTATTAACACTATTATATAAATGAATGTCTATATATATATATATATTTATTTGTCAAATTGTAATTATTTTGTCTCAATGCGTATTTTTATTATTTATATTATTATTTTAAATATTATGTGCTTATATTCATTTTGTCCGGTTTAATTTTTTTATTTGTCCCTCGTCGTCTAATCGAATCGATCAGAAATTCCTAGTACCGCGTACATTTTATTTCGGCCCGAAGCGATTTAATTCATTGGCCTTTTGTCATTTTATTTCCAGCCCAAATGAAGTTTGTGTATTGGCCCAGCTGAGTAATGTCTTTGGCCCAAGATGATGTATTAATTTTGGGCCCAATTAGAAGTTTATTTTGGATACTAATTGAATTGCCAGCAAAACCATTTCCTCCTCCGTAACCGATCTGTTCTTCTTCTTCTCCTTATCTTCGGAACTGACCTGGTCCATCACCCCTTGTTGCCGTTGCGATTTTCTTGCGAAATTTCCTGGCCTCGATCGCTCGATAATCGGCCGCTTATCCCTTATATCTAGACCAAGATGATTTCCACTTTCATCAGAGAAGTCCATCCCTTTCGCCAGTGATATCCCCGAGTACCATCGTCACCATTAATTCCGGCAGCATCAGGCATCGTCCCGCCGTCGCCGACCCTCAGCAATTCATTTCGCGAGCAGCACTTCCGGGGAGCTTCGAGGTCCGTCTGTCGAGTTGTTCATCGAGCTTCTGAGGGCCGTTTGCGCGCTTCACTCCGCACCGATCTGATTTTCCGATTTCTCGCTAATTCCCGAAGACGGGTATTTTATTTCGAACATCCTCGTTCTAATAGGGTCGTTAGATTTAACATGTTCTTGGAGTGAATTTTTCTACTTGCTGCTTGCTGTTTAGTTTCGATTCATAACAGTCGAGTTTGGTATGAATTAATGAACTCATGTTCGTATATTTCAAACTCTGTTTGTTGCTGTAACCTGCTCGTGAGTTTCGAAGCCCCGAGTTGTTGTTTCGGAGTCCCGATTCGTTGTTTCGGAGTCTTGCCATTATATTCCCGAGTCACCTTTCATTGTTGTTCGTTATTTCTTTCGAACTTTTCTGTTATAATCTTCGTGCTATTATGTTCGTGAATTATTCGTTGGTCTGATTATCGTATATGTGTTCGGTTCATTTCGTTGTCGTATTTGCGTTTCGGATATTAGTCGTACGACTGGAACTCTCGAATTCATTAAAGGAGATTGTGTTGTGCTGATGTGTTATTACGTTGGTTTTGGAGTCTCGTTTTGCTATTTCAAACTTTACCGTACATTGCGTTGTCCGTTTTAAAACCACGTATTGTCGTTTCGACTCTCGACCATTTAAACCGGCTTTAAACAATTTTCAAAACCTTGTAAATGTGTTGTTTTCGTAGACGTTTTAAATTCTCGACTCGGGTGTTGTTGGTAGTATTGTTGTCGAGTTCGAATTTGCTGCTAAAATTTCACTGTGAAATCTGAAAATGAAGTTTTGTTAATCTGCTTGTGGGCTTTCATATTGCAGCTTTAGTTCGGTTTTTAGCAGGTTCACTGTTAATATCATTTGATAAATTTACAATTTAAACCGCAACATAGTGTATAGCGCAGTGGCCTTGCGAGCGCTATTTCTTGCTCGAGGACGTGAGTTCGAACCCCCAGCCTGTGCTTTCTTGCCCTTTTTTTTTTTAATATAACCAGTTCAGTGCGCGGGCTTACTGGCCCTAAATCCGGCCCGCGCGGCCCACCTTCTTCAGCAGCTTGGGCCCGCGCCCCTGCCCAGTTATGGCCCGCGTGTTCACAGCCATTGTGAGCTTTGGGCCGAGTTCTCTAGCCCTTTGTACGGCCCAATTTCCATATGCAGCGGCCCAACAGTGGCTTGTGCAGTCCAATTGGCATTTTAAGCCAATTTTTTTGTTTCGGAGCCCTTTTTCGTACCGATTTAAATTTTAAAAATATTTTAAAAATGAGAAAAATTTTGAATAAATTATTTTAAGTTCCGAGACCCCAATTTAGTCCTCCGGGTCATATTTTTCAAAAATAAGAGAGTTCCAAGTCCACGAAAAATCCGATTAAAACCCTTAAGACTTAATTTTTATTAAGTGTTAGTTTTATGTTAAATTCTAGTAGTGAGATATATTATTGATATATTATCTCGCTTAAATGTAGGTGTTTGAGGAGTCGAGCCCTCGACCTACGTGCTTGTTTTCGTGTGCAATATTCGACTGCAATACCAGGTGGGTTTTAATCTAAAATTTGCTATGTTATAATTGAGGTAAGATTTTTATACTAAGTGCCTATGAATGTATGTGTGAGTCATGAGACGGTGCCTAGTGGTGGGCGATCTCCAACCTTGTGATAGGTAGACTCACTTTAGCCTAGTTGATGGGCCGTGACCGTTGAAGTTGAACCTCGGCACGACTGTACTCTCGCTGACGAGTTTGGGCTTACCCCTGGCGGCTTTTGATAGGTGTGCACATGAGTATAGTGATGAGTAGGAGAGTGGTGTGATATGTCTTTTGACCATGTACTTGCATATGACTCTAGTATAGGCTTCTTACCAATATATTATGCATAGTGGTGAGCACCTCGTTTATATTTGTGCTCATCCCCACCTGCTCTTCATTGATGCAGGTTAAGCACGTGTTGGGCATGACGAGACTAAAGACGAGTGGATGGTCAATCATTATTAATGCTTTTATTTGCTTCCGCATGCTTTGTTATTTATGTTGAGATTATCAGACTTGTTTATTCATCCCTATTGCTTTTTGGGATTGGTTGAACTGTTGAACCATGTGGAATAATTCTATCAGTTTGGATTATGTTGACAATCCTATTGCTAGATATGTTGAAATCTAGTCTTGGAACTTAAATTATGTTGAATATTCTCGTTTCCTTTATGCTGATTATGTGATTAACTTTGGAAAATTCTCAAGTAGCGCCAAATGTTTTTATAAATCGATAAATGGTTTCGAAATTTTAAAACAAGATTTTTGGATAAGTCCGGAATTGTCTTCAAAAATCTTTGGGGCATTACAGTTTGGTATCAGAGTCAGTCTGCGTTTCTGTAGACTGGTTTATATGTGATTAAGTGATTGTGTGAATTGATCTTGTGTGTTGACCACTCGTCTTCGTCATGCCGCACTGCTTAAGGTATGTTTTAAATAAGTATTGGTATATACTTGAGTGATGTAATGCTAATATTTGGGGTTAGGTTTTATCCACCTTTAAAATGTGAACTCTAGGGTCGAACTCTAGACTTCATTTATTTTGTGCTAAATCTTTGTGGCTCATTTTTCAATGTAGAGAAATGGCTCGGCAAACCCGCAATAGCTATCAGCAGAAACCACCTCCCCCGCCTCCTCCTCCTCCTCATCAGCATGCTCAGGGTAGAGATCCCATTACCCAAGCTGTAATCGATTTCCGTAACATGCATCCTCCGGCGTTCAGCGGAGTTGAGGGCCCCGAAGCTGTGGCTGAATGGCTTCAGCAACTAGAGAGTATCTTTGATCTGTTGTTCACCACTGATGAGGTGAAAATCCGTTGTGCCTCGTTCGTGATGACCGGAGATGCTAGGACTTGGTGGAATGACTATTGGAGGCTTCATCCTCGTGCTTAGAGGGATGCATTGACTTGGGACCAGATGGTTACTATAATCAAGGACAAGTATTACCCAGAGGCTCACCGTGCCCAGATGATGAAGGACTTTTGGGAGCTCAAGCAAGGACCCCGTCTCGTGGATGTCTACGAGCGCGACTTCACTCGTATGTGCGCATTTGCTCCGATGCTCGTGGATACCGACCAGAATAAGGCCTTTCGTTTCCGTGATGGTCTTCGCCCCGACCTTTGTTACACCCTGACTGGCCACGGAGCTCTGCCTTACTCCGAGATGGTTCGCCGAGCCACTGAGTTAGAGGTTTGCCAGAATGCCTAGAGGGCGGCTGTCCCATCCTATCAGCAGACCCCTATGATTCAGCCTATCTCAGCTGTTGCGCCCGGTTCTAATTCGGGCAAGAGGAAGGCCGACCATTTTCAGAACAAGAAGAAAGACAAGAAAGGGAACTTCGGGAGGCGTGATGACCGACCCCCTCAGGGACAACTTCCGAGGTGCCCTAACTGCGGCAAGTTCCATGGGCCAGGAGAGTGCCGAGCAGCCGACAGACACTGTTTCAATTGCCACCGTGTCGGACATTTCTGGCATATGTGCCCCGAGCCGAAGAGGCCACAGCAGCAGCCACCCTACCCTCAGCAGCAGCAGCAACTTCCACCTCCACCCCATCCGCAGCAGCCCAGACAGCCCCCACCTTACCAGCAGAGGGCTGGGGGTCAGGCCCGCGTGTATACCATCACTCATGATGAGGCAGCCAACAATGCAGGTACTATGTCCGGAATGCTTTCGATATCCAACGTGCCCGTTTATGCTTTATGTGATACCGGAGCCTCTCATTCCTTTATTTCTACTCGTTGTTTGGAGGCTTTGTCCATTAGTAATGTGTGCCCATGTGACCCTCTCGAGGTTAGTTTAGCCTCGGGAAGGACTATGATTTCTGATTCTATGATTCCCAGTCTTCCAGTCAGTATTGGTGGACACTTTTTGGAGGCCAGTGTTTATGTGATTGAAATGCGAGACTTTGATGTGATCTTGGGCATGGATTGGCTCACCCGCTATCGAGCCGACATCCGGTGCCAGGAGCGCGAAGTCACTCTCTTTCCCGTTTCTGATCAGCCGGTTGTATTCTTTGGGGTGAAGTCGAGGACTGTGCCTCGAGTCATCTCTTCTATGCAAGCTAGGAAGAGCCTTTCCAAGGGTAGCTGCCAAGGCTATCTTGTTTCTATGGTGTCCGAGGATGATTCCGAGCGAACTCCGGAGCGAGTTTCTATTGTTTGCGAATTCCTTGATGTTTTTCCCGATGAGCTGCCCAGAGGACCACCCGACCGCCAAGTGGAGTTCACCATTGACTTAGTACCGGGAGCTGGCCCCGTGTCTAAGGCCCCTTACCGTATGGCGCCGAAGGAGCTTCAAGAGCTTAAGGCCCAGATCCAGGAATTGCTCAGACTCGGTTTTATTCGACCGAGTGTTTCGCCGTGGGGAGCGCCCGTCCTATTCGTGAAGAAGAAAGACGGATCCATGCGTATGTGTATTGACTACCGGGAGCTGAATACCCTAACAGTCAAGAACAAGTACCCCCTTCCCCGTATTGAGGATCTCTTCGACCAGCTGAGAGGAGCCAGCGTCTTCTCAAAGATCGATTTGCGGTCTGGCTATCATCAGCTGAAGATCCGGGAGTCGGATATTTCTAAGACTGCCTTCCGTACCCGATATGGCCACTATGAGTTCGTAGTCATGCCGTTCGGACTCAGCAACGCCCCGACCGTATTTATGGACCTTATGAATAGGGTCTTTCATCCCTTCCTGGACCAGTTTGTTATTGTGTTCATCGACGACATCTTGGTTTACTCTCGGAGCATCGACCAGCACAAGGAGCATCTGAGGATTGTGCTGGAGACTCTTCGCCGCGAGAAGCTGTATGCTAAGTTCTCGAAATGCGAGTTCTGGTTAGACCGTGTGGCGTTCCTTGGCCACATTGTGACAGCGAGAGGCATTGAGGTGGATCCCGGCAAGATCGAGGCAGTGAGTAAGTGGGATACGCCAAGAAGTGCCGCTGATGTTCGTAGCTTCCTGGGGTTAGCAGGATACTACCGGAGGTTTATCGAGGGCTTCTCGAAGATAGCCCAGCCCCTAACCAACCTTACGAAGAAGGCCGTGAGGTTTGATTGGAGTCAGAAGTGCGAGGAGAGTTTCCAGGAGTTGAAGAGGAGACTCACTACCGCGCCCGTCCTATCCATACCCGACCCTACTTTGGAGTTCACGATCTATAGTGATGCTTCGAAGATGGGCTTGGGTTGTGTTCTCATGCAGCAAGGGAGAGTCGTAGCCTATGCGTCGAGGCAGTTGAAGCCTCACGAGCAGAACTACCCCACTCATGATCTGGAGTTAGCTGCAGTTCTCCACGCCTTGAAGATTTGGCGGCACTACCTCTATGGAGGAAAGTGTGAGATCTTTACCGACCACAAGAGCCTGAAGTACATTTTCACTCAGAAGGAGCTGAACATGAGGCAGCGTAGGTGGTTGGAGCTGGTCAAGGACTACGACTGCACCATTAGCTATCACCCTGGGAAAGCTAATGTGGTAGCCGATGCCCTTAGTCGGAGGAGTTATGGCCAGCTATCTTGCTTGTTTACCGGGCAGGATGTCCTTCTTCGGGAGTTCGAGCGGCTACAGCTAGACGCAGTGGAGTCCATTTCGACAGCCGGGGGCGTGTTGGCCTCTTTGGTTGTGGGACCGACTCTTCGAGAGAGGATAGTCGCCGAGCAACCGAATGACCGTTTCTTATGCCGGATGAGGGAGTTGTCGGAAGCCGGTTGAGTTGGAGGATTCGCAGTCGCATCTGATGGGGCCTTGGTCTTTGAGGGTAGACTTTGTGTTCCGAGGGTGTGGGAACTGCGAAGGGAGATTTTGAGAGAGGCCCATAGTGCCCCGTACACCATCCATCCTAGTAGCACGAAGATGTATCAGGACCTGAGGAAATCTTTCTGGTGGCGAGGCATGAAGAGACAGGTGGCGAAGTTCGTGGATGGGTGTCTGGTGTGTCAGCAAGTGAAGGCTAAGCGCCAGAAACCAAGAGGGTTGTTGCAGCCCCTTGAGGTCCCCCTGTGGAAGTGGGAGTGCATCGCCATGGATTTCTTAGTGGGACTGCCGAAGTCTAGGAGTGGGTATGATTCGATTTGGGTGATAGTGGATCGCCTTACGAAGTCTGCCCATTTTCTGCCAGTCCGGACGACCATGAAGGCGAGTGATTACGCCGAATTGTTCGTCAAGGACATTGTTAAGCTTCATGGGGTGCCCGTGGAGATTGTTTCGGATCGAGATGCCAAGTTCACATCCCAGTTCTAGAGGACGTTGCACCGAGCCATGGGGACGAGGTTGGAGTTCAGTACAGCCTTCCACCCCCAGTCAGATGGTCAGTCGGAGCGTGTGATCCAGTACTTTGAGGATATTTTGAGGGCTGTGGTCTTGGACCGAAGCCTGACTTGGGAGTATGCCCTTCCGCTAGTCGAGCTGACCTACAACAACAGCTACCACTCTTCAATCAAGATGGTCCCGTACGAGGCTTTGTATGGACGTAAGGTCCGGACTCCTTTGTATTGGGATGAGGTTGGAGAGTGGATGATTACGGGTCCGGATTTTGTCCAGAGTGCTGCAGCGACCGTTGAGGAGATCCGGAAGACCATCAGGTCTGCCCAGGAGAGGCAGAAAGTCTATGCTGACCGGGAGAGGCAGGAGCATGTTTATGCTGTGGGAGATCATGTCTTCCTGAAGGTTTCACCCATGCGAGGTGTGATTCGCTTCGGAAAGAAAGGGAAGCTTAAACCTCGCTATATTGGGCCGTTCGAGATCCTCGACCGAGTTGGGAACTTAGCGTATCGGTTGGCTTTACCACTAGACTTGTCGGGTGTGCACGACGTGTTCTATGTCTCGATGCTTCGGAGGTATGTGCACGATCCTGATCATGTGGTGGACTTCGGCGAGCTGCAAGTCGAGCGAGACCTTACCTATGAGGAGGTGCCGGTAGCTATCCTGGACCGGAAGGTCCATCAGCTGAGGAACCGGGCAGTGAGCATGGTGAAGGTGTTGTGGAGCCGACACGATGAGACCGAGGCGACTTGGGAAAGGGAGGACGGTATTAGGAGGCGTTATCCGAACTTCGAGTTCTGAGTTCTCCTTTGTATTTTATTGCTTTTAGTTTTATTTTCGAATTCCGAGGTCGAAATTCTTTGTAAGGTGGATAGACTGTAATACCCCGTTCGATTTTGGATTATTTGGTGTTATTATTTATTTTCTTTATTATTATTTGTGCCCCTTATTATTATTATTATTATTATTAACACTATTATATAAATGAATGTCTATATATATATATATATATATTTATTTGTCAAATTGTAATTATTTTGTCTCAATGCGTATTTTTATTATTAATATTATTATTTTAAATATTATGTGCTTATATTCATTTTGTCCGATTTAAATTTTTTATTTGTCCCTCGTCGTCTAATCGAATCGATCGGAAATTCCTAGTACCGCGTACATTTTATTTCGGCCCGAAGCGATTTAATTCATTGGCCTTTTGTCATTTTATTTCCAGCCCAAATGAAGTTTGTGTATTGGCCCAGCTGAGTAATGTCTTTGGCCCAAGATGATGTATTAATTTTGGGCCCAATTAGAAGTTTATTTTGGATCCTAATTGAATTGCCAGCAAAACCATTTCCTCCTCCGTAACCGATCTGTTCTTCTTCTTCTCCTTATCTTCGGAACTGACCTGGTCCATCACCCCTTGTTGCCGTTGCAATTTTCTTGCGAAATTTCCTGGCCTCGATCGCTCGATAATCGGCCGCTTATCCCTTATATCTAGACCAAGACGATTTCCACTTTCATCAGAAAAGTCCATCCCTTTCGCCAGTGATATCCCC